GCCTTTCGTCTCGGCCAATCATCGGCCTCGATGTAGGCGGAGCCACGCCCCCTTTCCACATCTCGGCCTATCAGCGTTCGTTCGCTCGTGTTGGATCTGCCCAGTGCCGCATTAGGCTTTTTCCCATGCTTTCGGCTCGATGTGCCGTTCATTTTCATTCACTAGCTGACATTCGGTGATTTTCATTCCACAGCTCACATCGAGCCTTTGTGTTTTTGGTTCTCTGTACTTTATTGCTATCCACAATAAAGCCTTCTCTCACTATCGTGAGCCTTTGTTCGCCAGCTGTCACAGTATCCGCTCGAATTCCTGGTAGGTATGCGGTAGAGGGGCGGTGCCGGTGCAAACACGCGCATTGGATGCACGTTTCCTTGTAGAGCACAATTTTCTGTACATTTTGGTTGTGGACGTGGTGTTGCTAACAGATCATTAGCTGAATGAGCAGTACGAGTATATAACATCGCTGTTTCGAACATAGATCATGCTGAAGTTGAAAAAATGAAGAAGTACAGCTTCCTGTCAGGACAATATGAGTTTGCCGCTGTCGGATTTGAAACCTTTGGTAGTTTTGGTACATCGGCAAAGAAGCTGCTCAAAGAAGTCGGAAAGAGGATCGAGCTACAAACCGGCGAGATAAAAAGCCACGAGTTTTTAAGGCAGAATATTTCATTAGCAATTCAAAGGGGTAATGCCGCTTCTGTTACTGGTACGGTTGAAAATGTTGTTTTCTTCAACCGAAACTGATTCTTGATATTGGTATCGCGGTTTTGGAAATAAAATTACATATGCTTAGCGACAGAAACAGCGACTTCCAAGTTCCGACCACTCGCCGGTTTTCACGAACTGCCGTCCGTGCGCGGCTGCCCTCTCGCATACCGTAAATTACCTGGACTGTCATTTATTACAGTCTCAACTAATGTGGCAGCAAAATGACTGAAAACTTGTACATTTAGCTTATACACAACAGTTAACATCACAACGCAGTACACTTAATCAGCAGAAAACAGCCTCGGGAGGTCTAAGAACAGAGAACAACTGATCTAAATTTGCTCCCTGGTACAGTAATATTTTTGTGCAGCACGTAATTAAGGGAAGCGGCCCGGTACATTGTACCAAATTCGGTCCGGTACATGCGGAATTCGGTCCATATGCGCAGCGTCTTACGTAACTATAGGTACCGTATAATTATCTATACAGATACGTATATAAATACGAGGGGATAACAGTAGCGCATTTCAGTAATCGTTGTATTGCTGCAGTCATGCGCCTGGAGTGTGACGCTACGGCTGTACATATGGTTAAATTGGCGCGGTACATAAGGACCATGTTCAGCCACAACGTCATACTTCAGTCGGCTTACGGCACCAGGTAACAGGGAGTGCTTTAACGCTACCCTCATCCCTCTCACACGGCCAGCAGGGCGTCGAAGCAAACACCGACCATCTTGACGTCCATGTTGCGGCCGCACAGGTACAGTCGTTACTCGTTGGCGTCCACTTGTCCGACCCCTGTTAGACGCATATGTATTACGTGTAAAGGTCACATTCAAATTCATATGCACATTCAAAACACCGTGCAGCTGGGGTTGGCTAATTTGAGCAAACTGTAACCCGACAGCTTCAACCGGCGCGGGCAAAATAAAATAACAGTTTTATGGGGTTTTTTATTTGGTATTCATAATGCAAATTTGAGTACAACGTAGCCCAATTGATATACAGAGCACATAGTGGCTGAAGTTATGTAAAGAGTCGATGCAGTCGCTGGGAAAAGTGTTTTAATTGGACAATCGCTAAAGGCCACTTTTTGGTGTATCTGTACTCTACTTAGTGAATGAAGTAAAATTATGAAGCTGTACGTACTGTTCATGTCGTTCGTGTTGAAGTGATGTTCGATGAAGTCGCGGAGGTAGGCCGGCAGCTCCTCGAAGGAGCGCACCCCGTCACGAAATAATAAGAACGCCCCCCCCCCCCGAAACTATCTCCCCGGGGCGTCTAATAAGTTCCGGCGCCGCGCTTTTTTGGCCAGCTATCGGTACCGTCTTAATGGTACAAGGTAAGCCTCGCGCATTCGAGCTCGGCACGTGTGTATTGGATAGGTCAGGTTTGAGTTTATTGACTGTTCCGGCAGTCGTACGGCAGTTCAAAAATTGAATTATTATAAATCTATCCTTACTTAATTACTTACTGTCTTACAAATCTATCCGTGGTTACAGTATCCACGTAGGTATGTACTTTTTTTTACATACTCTATTTCACACTGCTAAAGTACTATTAAGTATTCTTAGTATGGCAATTGCGTTTCGCCATACTTAAGACCAACTCCTAAAATTTTCTAACCAGAACGCTTTAAAAAAAAATCAAAATTCAGGATAAGTTGGAGTCTCGTGAGTGCCTCTGTACACTCACGCACAGCACCCGGCAGCAGTCTCCCCGCGTGGAGGCCACTGCACTCTCCAGTCCAGTGGCTGTGCGGGCTGCCGACCGGACCACCTCCTACTCCGCCATCCCCGCATCCATTCCCATTGATTACTTATTTGATTGAGCCTGGGTACATGTCGGGACGATTAGATATCTAGCGATCCGACGCAGATGACAAATTATCTCTAACAAATGATATAATTAACTAAATGCACCGTGGTCTGCCTTTGCTGTCTGTCTGCCTCTCCTCTTTCTCCCTCTTTTTCTTTCGTTTTCCGCTGGTGGCCCCTCCGTAATTCCTGTCACAGTGTATCAGCTGCAGCATCGCTAGCAATATTGTCTTGTCAATTTGTCCTTTATGTGCGGAAATCTGCACTTGTTTCGTTGCACTTGTGTGCGATCTGGTTTTTCTCTGTGCATGTGCTGTGTTTCTGTAAAGCTTAAGGGAAGTGGCCCGGTACATGGTACCAAAATCGTGTTCATGCACGAAAACTTTTACTTTCGCGCACTCCCAAACCCTTTTTTCTTTTGTTTTATGACATTCTGTAGTCAGATGATTTGTATACACAGGCGAGAAAACCGTTTGTGCGCGCAGCATCCGGTTCGGGAGTTATGGCACTTAGAAAATTCCAAAAAGTTTAAATGCATTCAGGTGTACCAAAAGTCTCATTATGGACCGATCTCCTTCAAATTTTGGACGTAAATTCACATGGCCATGAAGATCGTTTTTACACCGATCCAGAGTTCCATGATTTTTTCAAATTTTAAAATGGATTTTAAAATTTTTGAAATTTATTTTAAAATTTGACAACGTGCTAGAACAGTGAACAAGCTTTATGGAGGATACAACCGCGCATGGTGATTTCGACGTGGCGCCGGCCAGTCTACACTATTTGGACGAACTGTCCGATGGCGTGCGGTCGTTCTCGCAGCTGATGCCTACGCGACAGGTCGTCGCGGGACATTTGGTTTTACGGACATTTCGTCTAAGACAATTCGATTTTGTGGCAAAAAGTCATATGACAGTTCGTTGCCATAAACCAGTCGATAATTTTTCGATTCCCCAAATGTCGCGCGATCAAATGCCCCACAACAAAACAGCTGCGGAAGCAGTTGTCCCAAAAAAACTAGCCGCTGTGACGGAAAACGTGTGGCGAAATGTCCCACGACGAAATGCTGCGCGACCACTTAGGCTGTAACGGGGCCGATCGAGAAATTGAATAATGAGCGTTGAAATGTGCCGTCTCGGGATGAGGTACGCCAGCAATGGCTGAATAGTGCCCTTAATCAACTGAAAGCTCTGAATTCCCAGTTGTTGAATAATTTGGAGGTAGGCAGTTTGTCCCAGTCTATCTTTCTCCGTATTATCGCAGATAATATGAGGTTCCTGCGGGAAATTCTGCCGATGAGTGACGAGACACTAGAAGATTTGCAAGAGCAAGTAACTCAGAGCGTTACACACCATCGGCCGATGCAGCGGCGCTGTTGAAAAATCTACACGGTCTACTGTTACGTAGCTGAAGGTAGCTGTGGATTACGGTGGATAATGACCTTTACTAGACTACTAGCTTTAGCGGCAATGACCTGACCGACCCGATGACCTTTTATTCAGATTAGCAGACAACAACTCGAATGCTAAATACAACAGGCATGCAATGCCAAACAGATTAGTTAGTCCAGTAGAAGTTGATCCGAGGCTGGTTGGTGGTGTACTAAATCAATTCCACAACTTCATCGCACACTACTTTTTTTAGCCAGGCACTTAATACGTGTTACGAGAGATAAAATACTGCAGACAACAAAGACTATTGGTTTGGTTTATTGATTCATTCCTTTCTTCACGCACAATCATTTGCTTGGTATCGTTAAGCCACAACCTCTGGCTTGCATACCACAAAAAGCTGTTGTGCATCCATAAATGTATCCATTTTAGGCACGCTCGTTATGGCTATGAAAATGTACGTGATTCATGATGCATGCCGCTCATGACAGAACACGCTTGCGCTATACACTCGCGCAACACCACTAAAATCCATGTCTGATATAGTCCTTAATGTGGATTTGCGAGTGACAACCAATCAACAAGCTCTACGGGAATTCGGGAAGAAATTTGTGGATTGTATAAAAAAGTATGCTGTGTATGGAAGCAACTGGCGCCTTCCATTACCCACGTCGATGAAACGGTTAAGAAAGATGTGCACCGGCCACCCGTGCACGGATGTGCTGAAGAAAGCGGCCAAGACGAATGTATTCGGATGGGAAGCGTTTTCCAAAGCGTGTCGCGCAGCGGCCGACCAAGACCAGCTATGTACTGCAGTTGCTGCGTGTGTTGGACTGTGATACGCAGTCTCTGCAGCGCGCCCTTTCCACGATTGACGGAATGGAAGAAGAGCTAGAAACTTCGATGACCTTGTTAAATTTATGTAATCGTAGACTTCTGTACCTGAATTCGACAATAAATTTAGTAATTCTGCCTTTAAATCTCATCAAAATTGTTAACCATGTCAGTGTGATGTGATGAAATTAATATCTAACTGTAAGCGGGATGCGCGCGGGCTCCAAGCAACTGAAACGGTTGAAAAACTTAATATGTCCAATTCTTATATTTCAGTACTTAATTTCTTGAGGAGAAACTAATCACAATGACCATTGCAGTTTGGAACGAGTGATATGTAAAACATAAGACAAAAAGTACTAAAAAGGCAAACATATAAAACCATAAGAAAGCATAAGGAAACCAAAAACTAGGAAAAAAATTTGAGTGGTCAGAGTCTGAGTCAGAGCTTGAGCGTGGGCCAGAAAACAAGACGGTTTAGCTAAGTACCAGCTCAACATCGTGACGATTCAGCATCGTGTCTGTTGGACGAAGTGGCGGTCGACGAATTTCCATCAACGAAATGGCGGGCCCCCTATGCTACAGGCTCGCGACTAGTTAAAATTAGTTAACTAGTCGTGAGTCAATAGCAATATTCATTCGTTATTATCTTAAGAGGCGTTTCTTGGTTTTCGGTCGTGCGCAGGCGAATAATTACTTAAATAATCACACTTTGAACATCCCATAGATGCCCCATAGGGCCAGCTTGCTGAGCTGGCTGAGATCAAGATTTCTTAGGTCGACATGGTCCCACGCGTGCGGACTGCCATCCGGATGGAATCCACTGAACCTACAGTACACAAGAATAACATGGACACTGAACACCGTCGTCCATAGCCCAAACCTAGTGACGGGCCTGACGGCTCGGCGCTTGCGTATTTCCACTAACTAGTACATGTGTACTACATTTCTACTCCGACTGCATAACATGAGTCACAAAACTAGGACTAGTAAGTACTTGCTTGTTGAGGAAGTAGCGGATGGGCTTCCATTCCTGCGGGTAAGCCAGAGTGCTGCACCAGCGAGCGTGCACGGCGGCTACGTGGGAGTACCCCTCGGCGCTGACTGGGGGTAGCGGCCGGTCCAAGGCCCAGGTGATCAGTCTTTTGACTTCCGCATAGCCGTCCCCCCACCGACATACTACTCGGGGGAAGGACATAATCGTCCCCTTCAAAACCAACTCCGCAGAAAAGTGCCAATCGAAGAAGCGTCTTTCGACATCCGGTAAGTCGTCTAGGTCTAGGTTGGCGTCCGCACACATGTCATAATTAAAATCGCGTACTTCCCCTTTATCAACGATCAATCGTTCGCAGTGTGGATGAAACCATCCCTGGACGTAGGGATAGTCCCAATTTCGCAGGCAGAAGGACTTGATGATGAGGAAGGGCAGCATGATGCGCATATTCTCCAATAGTTCCCGCACAAAACTTTCGACGTGCCAGTTGAACTCCTCCGCCTCCCAGTCGTGGGCGCGTGCTGTGATGGTGAGGCTCTTCGTGGCCGCAGTGATGCTCCTGCTCAACACCATCGCGATGCGGCAACAGCTATAGTGAGGGTCACCGTCCTGCGTTTGGGGGAAGTTTTCCGTTAAGATGCTGATGTGGTGCGCCGCGCGGGGCTGCTGCAGAATCTCTTGCCACAACGCACACACTCTGCAGAAGAAATTTGCTAAAGTGTATCTATCTATATTAACACGATTATTCCCGTGTCAATTACTGTAACCTACCGTCTGGCTTGGGCCTGTGTGTGCAGGTCCAGAACTTCCAGGATCTCCGTCAAGAGTATCAGTGGCAAATGGCACATATCTGTAAATGAACAAGCGACCGCACAAGTGTAGCTCCCAGTTCCGGCATCCCACTTCGCCACTCTCTTGCCATTACTTCCCACACATCGGCTAAATCCTTAGAAATACAACCGGTTAAATAACAGCGAGAACAAATCTGCATGGCAACGTTGACATTCATTCACTTGCGATTAGGGCAGCACTTTCCTATACTTATTGTAATCTTCGATTGGAATTGTCAAATGACGGAAATGAGTGCTTCTATCTGTACGCATCTGTGATTCTGTACATTAACTTGTAAGTACTTAACTTCACAACTGCCCGTTAATTGGCAGCTACACTAAATTCGATATCAGTGCGACGGTGTCCGTGTAGACGGTGTAGTTAAGCGTCTTGTGCACTTACGGTACAGCGTATCGTTAAATTAATTAACTGGTTAAAGTACAGTGAAATACAGTATAATTATAGATATAGTAGTACTGTTTAAATAGTGTTCGGATGTATGTACAGACGCAAGGTACTCAATGTCAGTACTACGAGTACGTACTTCTAGTGGTAAATACTATAGTACATATTATTATTTTATAAAATTTATATCTATATACATACGATAATTACATATACCGTATGATATACGTCATATACCTATGTATCTATATACTGTATCATTTGTATGTATAATGTACGTTTAAAATATATATGTCTATAAATTGAAGAAATGTGCACCCTCGATGCAGCGAGATGTCTGCTTCGTATGATCAGGAACAGTTACTGTCGCCCGACTGGCACGCAACGTGGCATGCGTCTCCAGTAGCTGCAGTAGTAATCCGGTCGTCCAGTCCATTGCTGCGAGGTCGTTCTGGCTGTCAACGACAACAAGCGTACAGTCATCCGAACCGATGCGCATGTGAAAACGGCAGCTGTCTTCCCTGTCGCCCATGGCCAACGGGTACGCCCTGTAGACTTGACGAAGAGCGTCAACAAACTGACGCGCGTCCGTTCTTGTGTCGAAGAGCGACTGCGTCGTGATCGCGGCCGTACGCTTGACGAATTCGTGCTGTGTGTAGAGGATGCCGCTGGTCCTGGTCAGCAGCGGTGCTTCGTTGAAGGGCAGCCGGCCCATCAACTGACACCGATCCACAACGGCAATCACATTACGCTCTCCACCTCCCGACGCGTTAGCAGCTTCTTTCGTGCTGACGAAGTACATTCGGCATTTGGAGATGAAACGCAGCACCGTGGCCGGACGGAAGCGGAAGGGGCCGTCGGGAGCGTCGCGGAGGGCCGCCACCACTGACATGCCGCAACACTTTGGGTATGTCTCGTGGCCGGATGCCGATGCCGACGGGTTAACCGGACTGTGCGACGCGATGGCTTGCGGCCACACTCTTGAAGCATGGATGTAGCGCGCCGGTGCGGCGGCGCAGTCGAAATCTACCAGCACGTGGTCACCGCGCAGGTCCTGAATGTAGCCCAGCCAGCACTCATCTGTCGCCGGATCCACCCGCACCGCTACGGTGTTCTGGTAATTGATGGTCTCTGCGCCAACCAAAAGCCGTCGAAATCCTGCCATCCGCATCCATGTAACGTTGCGCTGCAAATTGGCAACATCTGTGTTAAGCCGATCATTACACCGCCTTCAGTACAGTAATTGCTGTACTGTACTTGTACAGTAATTCGTTGTTACCTAGCTTCTTATCGTTATTAATACGGAAAGTGCTGTACTGACTACTGTACTAAGTCTTATAGTTACTGTATTCAATAATTATTCGCTACAATGCATAGTACACTTTAAGGGATTTGGCCCGGTACATAGCACCAAATTCGTGTACATCCACGAAAACTTTCGCTGTCGCCCACTCCTAAACACTTTTTTGCATGGCTTTATGGTGTTCTGTAGAGAAAAGAGTTGTACACGTAGGTGTGAAATCCGTTTGCGCGCGCAACATCCGGTTCGGCAGTTATGGCTGTTAAAAAATTCCAAAAAGTTTAAATGCATTCAGGTGTACCAAAAGTCTCATTATGGACCGATCCCTTTCAAATTTTGCACGTAAATGCACATAAGCATGAAGAGCGTTGTTACACGGATCCAGACTTCCACGATTTTTTTCGAATTTTAAACTGAATTTTAAAATTTTTGAAATTCATTTTAAAATTTGAAAAACATGCTAGAACAGTGGATCGGTGTAAGAACGATCTTCATGGTTATGTGCATTTACGTACAAAATTTGAAAGGGATCGGTCCATAATGAGACTTTTGGTACACCTGAAGGCATTTAAACTTTTTGGAATTTTCTAACAGCCATAGCTACCGAACCGGATGTTGCGCGCGAAAACGGACTTCACGCCTCTGTATACAAATCATTTGGCTAGAAAATACCATAAAGCAATGGAAAAAAGTGTTTGGGAGTGCGCGGCAGCGAAAGTTCCCGTGGATGTACACGAATTTAATGCTATGTACCGGGCCAAATCCCTTAATACACGTACAACGACATTCATTTCACTTTTGCCGCATCGTATAATGCTAATTTTTATAATAAAGTACTGTATTGTGTTGCAATAATATTACAGCGAGCGTAGGACGGTAGGAGTACTGCAAAGAATAATAATTATTATGAGTGTGCAATTTTGGCGAATCACATAAAATTTCACACAGTGCCACATGCAGTCTACCTGTATACAATATGTCAGTCTGCCTGCCCTGCAGTAATCGAACATTTTCTGTACAAGCATGCGTAATTAACAGTAACTTTAACGCCCTGGGCCGACGGGAAAGACTTCGAAGGGACGAAAGCCTCAGTCGTTGCAGCGCTGGAGAACTCAGTCGCTTCTGCATCGGGAAACACGTAGCGATCAAGTACCAGTTGTCAACTTAACCAATAGACATGCAATTAGATACTTGATATTGTTATCGCGTTATTGAAATAATAAAGTACAGTACACCCAATTAGATACATACAATACTTGTACGAAACTACTAGTACTAATATGGATACTCGCAATTGGGCATGCGATGTGATGTAGGTATCTATTTCGCAAAATAACTCCAAAAGTGTGCTCGTAAAATTTTTCTATGAGCACATACAGAATTTATTATAAAGATATATGCAGACGCCGAAGCGTTAACAAATTAGTGCGTCCAGACCATCAAAACGCGATAAACCTGGTGTAAGATGGATTATCGGCCAACAATTCCCTGCTATAAAGATCAGTTTACAGATGGCAAAAAAACAATTCGCAAAAACTAGAAGAGCGTGCCCGTAGTTGCAAGTTAACACTCAACAACATCGATGGGCCCAATCTGGCAACGGCGTGATAATGCCGTCAGCGACTGTAAGTGTCTGTAACTAGCCTATTTCAGATTGCATACGGTAGAGGCTCCGTACACAGAATCGCACGGCGTCAGATAAGCAGTACGTTGGCAGGATGAAAACTGCTTCAGATCTTTGTGCGGTTACACTTTGGTCACGTACAGCAACGAAAAAATAAATCGAGTCGAGTGCGCGCAAGGACGTGACCACCCTGCTAACGGTCGGCGGTCTGAGTGCTCAAAAAAGATCCACGGGCAGCATACGCTGGCCTGCCATTCACTGATGTGTCTGAGCCGTTGCAAGCATCCGCGTAAGGCAGATAGTTTTTACGCGTCACCGCACGACGCTAGGTTACAGCTGCTAACGTCGCGAACGGACGTAAAACAACCCGGAACCGAAGGTTCCACATGGAACCGGAGCCGAAACTAGCACAAACCGTGCAATCTGAAATAGGCTACTGTATAGACATGCACTTACGTTTCCAGCATGCTGATTTTGTTAGGTATTGAGTGGGCGAGCCGCTATTCAGTGGGCAAGCCGAGCCTACCGCGAACGTAATAATAGAAGTAAAAGCAGACTGATTCGACACTGATAAAAACGCTAAACGTTCATAGGATCCGGACCTAGAGTCTAATTCACACCACCGACTGGGCCGTATCTGTGTTATTTGTGCGCTGCTTCCGGGGTGCAGCTTTCGGATCTGCAGCGATTTTGAAAATTCTGAGTCTTCTTGGAGTGCGAAGCAAACAGCAAGATCATTCGGACTGTTTTTTTCTCACTGTATTTCACCTGTGCATTTGATCACTTCCTCATAATGCGATGCGATGAAGTTGCAAAAATGTTGATGCAGTTTCTACGGCAATTAGATGACCGTCTTTTGGGTTCTCGGGTTCTCAGTGCCCCTCCCGCCCAAGCGAGTTAATTCGCCTATGTGCTCACCCACAATTTAAGTACAATAATGCTCAAAATGCTGTAATTACTTTAGTTAGTACCCCCATATAGCTCTATGTGCTCAGTGAAGTAAATAAAATTATTTATTAACGACAACATTCATTCATTTTATTGCCAGTTCCTTATGTTGAAATGTTTCAGCACACGGCAAGAATGCTTTTTAATGCCAGATTAATAATAATATTGTTTGTGTGTACAACGCGAAAACAACAAAACACCATCTGATCAGGATCAATACAACACGCCAAATGAAAGGTTTGCTGACCACGGAGTTGAATTCCCATTTCCGCCCAGGTCCGCTCGGGTCGGGTTGGATGCCGAATAAAACTCTTCAAAATACCAACCGTAAAATGAATCTAATCCAATTAATCAACCATCTCCGCCCTCTTTCCACTACAGCGTTCCTCATAACGCGCCGCTCATCACCAGAAAACAAAAAAAATTAAAGAATAATTCTCATCCGCTCAGGCGTCCTTCTTCCGTTTGCGCAGCGGGCCGGAGGCGTTAGCGTTGGCTTGGACATTGGCCACCAACACGAACGCGTGATGATGCTGCTGGCCGCCGACGTGTACCGTCTGTTTACTGCTGCTCAGCGCCTGGATGACACTGGGCCCGGCCAACGCCGCCCGGAACACCTCGCACTGCCGGGCGGCTTCGTCGCGGCGAGCGGTGGCCAGCGACAGCTCCTGCCGCAGATTGTAGATCTCCCGCTCCAGGTGACTCATGTCGTCGATCTGTCCAAAAACGCTACGTTACTCAAACAAAAATAAATGATAGAATTAAAAATAAAATAACAAAGAATTCAACAGCAAAACACAACAAATATGGAAATAAGGAAAAGATTTTTTATGAACAAATTAGCAAGAGAATTAACAGCGAAACTGACAAGACACAGTGATAAAAAAGACAGAATTAATAATAAAACAAATTCAAAATAAGAACAGGGTTATTACTGAAATTACTAATAGAACGGGCTGATAATAGGACAACACTAAGTAACACTAAAATAAAACAACGAGACCAATATGCGGGGCGTCGCCGTGCCTACCTTCCTCTGGCGGCAGTGCTGCGCGGCCACCTTGTCCGTGCCGCGGCGGCGGATATCCTTCATGAGCTGGATCTGCTCCTGGCTAAGCGTCAGGCTCAGGCCGAGGCCCGTGCTCTGGCCGCTGACGAGGCTGTTGAGCTCCTCACCGGCATGTTGACGATCTCCTCCGCCGACACCGGCAGGCCCAGCTCCGATGCCGCCCGGTCGTCGCGGTTCGGCCGGCTGCACAGCTCCCCCGTAATGGACACCGAACCGCCGCAGCTGTGCCTGTGTCGAGCCGGAGCTCTCGGCGGCGCTGGAGCTCTCCATCTCCTCGCTGCTTTCCCGACTCTGCATAAGACATTCACAAAATTATATAACATCAAGTTATCAACTAATAACGACACGCTGTCATTATTCGTTGCAATTAGCAAAAACAATTCTTTCTAAAATATAAACGCTTTCACTATTGAATGAAGTGCAGTTTCTGTAATAATGTGTGCAAAAGTGTTTTTGCAAAAAAATTATTTAATTCACTACAACCGGAAGCGCGGTTTCAGCCGTGAATTAAATGATTATCAGTCTGTAAAAAAAATACCACAATATTTACTGCAACCGGAATAACAGTTTAACCAACTCTGGAGCGAATCACCGACGCCATCAGCGGCGCGTCCGTCACCGTGAGCAAGGACAAGACCGTTCGCGTGCCGGCGCCGGAGCGCGGGACCGACACCGCCGTCTGTCCGGCCCCCGCCAGCGACTGGATGCCCACCGGCGTGTCCAACAGAATGTTGTAGTGGGCCGTGTTGCTGCATAAGCATTGCATTCAGTTATCAAATAAATTAAAAAATCTGCTTCATAATACAACTATCAATTGCATTGTAGTGAAATCGAAATTATTACGAGTATAAATTAATTCAACGTTAAAAATTTAACTTTCAAATTGGCAACGCAAATTCTTGCTATAGCTACAAGAAGTATGCATGGAGCATGCTCTCAGCAATTGAAGAAGTGAAGGAACACTGACTATCTGCGTGCAAGTTAAAACGGTTTGAACTGCAGAGTCTGTTTAGGTGTACCTGGGTCTGAAGTCCATGGGGCGATTATCGGAGTGCACCTGGAAGTTGATGAGGCCCCACTGCTCCAGGACGGCCTGGATGCGCACGATGCCGCACACGTCGCGTAACGTTGCGGCGGAACGAGGTGGAGATGAGGTACTCGGTGGGGTTCAGGGGGTACGAGTCGATCATGAAGTTGCGCCGTATGCCTCGGGACTCCTGGATGCGTTCTGGTAGTTAAAGTTCTCCGACAGCGAGCGCTTCGCAATGGCGTTGATGCTGCAGTTGCATAATTAATTACAACGAAACAAATTCCAATGAATTATTCCACCTGAATACAATTACAGTATTGACTTGCACAATTCGCGAAAACTGATACCGGGACAATAAATTCAACATTAAACATGAGTAAAAATACTTACATGTAAAATCAAATAATTAACCAAAATATAATTAGTAGGTTATCCAACATTTAACCTGCATGAGCATTATATTACCAAAATCACAAAATGAAGCACAAATAATAATGATGATAAATTGCATAATTGACAAATTAACAGTTTAAAATCGTTGTGCGAAGCATAGGCGCGTTCGACTTCGATCAGTTTGATGTGCGTGCCGAAATTGTCGTCAGAGCTCGCTACCCACGGGTGCTGCGTCAGATTCGAGAATTTGCTACAGACTTGCATGCTAACTGCAATTTATTAAGGCCATGGCTAGTGCCTTTTTTGGCTTTATTCAGATGAAGGTCGGTTTTTTAAGTTTTTTTAAATCGTATTTTCTTTCTTGATATACTTTATTATATCCAGTTTAAATTGGGAAAAATTCATAACTTAAAACCGGAAAGATCGGTTTAAATACACATTTTAAAATGTGGATTGAATAAATCACGCTCAAAAATTAACTAGTCTTCAGCCTTCAGGCAACCATACAGAATTTTAGATAGACCACCCAGAAAATCGTAAACATAGTCCTCCTGCACCTTGCAAGGGCTTTTTTTGAAAAAAATTTTTTAAACTTCACAAACTTAAAAAAACACATTTGGGGTTTTGATTTTCGTAAATAACTTGAGTTAAAACAATTTTTTTCAAAATCGCTCTCGCAGTTATACTTTTAAGATATTTATTTCAACACCCAGTGCATCAAGTTTTAAAAATCATATTAGATCGCCTGAATCAGGAGTTAGTTTTCAAACTTTATCTGGTGCAATTTAGCCTTCGAAAGTTCATGGCTTCATGCAAGTTTACATCAGATCACTCAATAAGTATTCTTCTCGGTCGATGGACATTTCAAACCAACACAGATGAAAACAACTGACAATTAAGATGAATTTAAAACATTCGCGAACCTAGCAAACACAGAGACCGACAAAAAAATTACAGAAGCAAGCAGCCAGAATCCACAGGTGCCACACCAACGAGCTCACTGGTTAAGGGCCAAACGCAGAGCGTTGTAAGGGCAAGTCTACATCACTCATGAGTATGTAGACTGTTTCAGCCCACCACACATATCAAACCGCCACGGGGCGCCATCCTCGCGAGAATCGTCTCAGCCATCTCGAGTCGGTGGGCGGAGCATACGCTCAAAATAGATCCATCTATTGCACAGGAAAACTGCATACATACAGTACATGTTATTTATTGGATGCGCAGTGCTGCCTGTATCGAGGCTTCGAGCCTGAGTACCTACCTATACGTTGTGCTGGAGACGCGATGTTAAACTCGATAGTTACTGCTCCGTCTCTGTACCCATTGAAACGGTGTTACTTACTTACTGCGCTAGGCATTCTCAGCAGTCTCAGATAGGCAGTCTCAGCAGGCTGCAGCTTTCAGTCTGTCAGCGCCGTTTTGCTGCATCTTTACAACCTCTCCTTCTTATCGTTTTATCATTGTTTAAAATCTTTTTGGAAGTTCTTTTGAAATTAACTGGTACCTGGATCGGGTGACGGGATCGACGAACGTGTGGGTTGTGCTGCCCTGCTGGGAAAAGCCCAAATGGCATATTGCATGCTATTTGGGCGGTTTCCGTTAGTGCTGCACTACCGCGAACCGCAGCTCGCCATTTATCATTCCGGATTTTTATTGAGAGATTTGTGGATTGTTCAGTGGATTGTGGATTGTTTACTACGTGTACAGTTTAGTTTAAACCGTATCGCAGTTTTACTTCTTTCGAAAGCAGAAATAATTGGGATTTGGCTCTGATATTTGATCGTGTGATAGCCATCAGCGCCATCAAAAAGCGCTCGCTGCCGGAGTACTTCAACTTATGCAAGAAAAATGGTTTGCATTTCTTGTAAAAATGGTTTGCATAGAAAACGGTTTGCATTTTGTTGTCGTTCCCGCCGGTGCTGATAGTGCAGTGCTTGTTATTGCAGGACACGTGTTGCTATGCAGTTCGCTTTATGATGGAGAATGTGGAACAGTCGGATTTAGCGCAGTACAACTGGTACAATGTCAACACTGTGTCTTCTGCAGCTGTCCTCGGTAGCTTGGATTTGGATGATATATTTGATAAAGACAAGGGATTCACCGTCCAGGAGCCGTGCTTTGTGCTCCGTTCAGCTCCGGAGCCGTGTGTCGTCATGAAATGCTACGCAACTGAGATGCTGATGACAGAGGCGCACGAGTAAGTGCAGTGGGAAAAAAATGAAATATTTTAAAATTTGCATTATTTCAGTTAGTCGTTTCTTTAATTTTATTTAGTCTGGTGCCTTGCCTTTTGATCCAGTGCTTATTTTGACATTCTTTATTACTCAATGCAGTCGATTGGTAAGAATTTGCATTAATTTACACTAGCGCATTTTGAGCTGGCTGCTGCCGAAACATTCACAGGCTTTTTTTGATGGAGTTTCTTACAGAGATGGAAAACAGAAGCTGAAAGGGAAAAAATATTACATCCGGCGAGCAAAGTGTGATGACGAGCAGGACTTCGAGAAAAAACTGGCAAAATACCGTGGGGAAACGCGTCCAGTGGTTCAGCAGGCTGTGCAGCACGTTCCACAGCCGTCCGTGGGCGTCGGCGAGCCCACAGCGTCCGCCTCCGCCCACCCGTCCGCTGGTCCGTTAGCGTTTCCGGTACCGATGCCGGTGGAGCAGCCACTCCCTGCGCCGTGGCCTCCGGTGCAGCACGGCAACTTCGCTGTCCCACACGCTGCCCAACTGGACATCCGCCATCCCGGACCGCCGCCAGTGCGCGGGCAAGCGCCGGTTGGATATCAAGCCGTGGCTCCTGGAGTGGCGGAGGTGCGTCAGCCACAGATGGCCAACCAGGACATGGGCGTCCAACAGCAGGAGGACATCGCCTTCTGGCAGGAGAAGTGGGAGACCAAGCGGCGCATGCGGACCGGCCACCCGGAAATACTGCAGCTCCCGCCACCGCAGCTCTTCGGCCCGCTGCAGTTTCCGCCACAGTTTCCGCCACCTTGGTTCCCACGCCCTCCGCAGCTGCCGCCACCTCCATTCAACGGTCGGCCGCAACTGCCGCAGCCCGGCGTGGCACCGGCAGCCGGGGTGGTGCAGCCGCAGGCACCGCCGGAGGACCTGCCCTTGCAGTGGCCCTATTGATTGTCTAATTTCCTCTCTGCTCTGGCCGATATAACTGTGCACCACCGATCCGACGCAGATGATTTTCGTAGCGAATTCTGATTATACTGAATGCATTTGCTGTTTGCATCTTCTCTCTCCTACTTTCCCCCGACTATTCTCCTGATTGCCTTCCGATGCTCACCAGTCTTGGCTTTTTGTACTTAGCACATTCTTGTCGCTGCTTATCAGCTGCACTGTTATTAGCACTACTGTAAGTACTTGTTTTGAGTATCGAGCGCTTGTTTTGCTCTCGTGAGCGCGCTTTTCTCTCGTTTTCATGTGCAGGCTGAATTCCTAACGAAAGCTGCTGTAGGATTTTTGTAGCGTGATTTGTAACATGATTTCTGCAATAACTCTATAATTGTAATCTCATTTCAATTTAGATTCGAAACCATGTCGGTGTGATTTGATTAAAAATTTTTGTGAGGGACGCGCGCGGGTTTTGAGAAGTGAAACGATAACAACGATACATTCGAAATACTGTACAGATAGAAGCGAACGACAGACATATCAGTAACTATTCCATATAATTATACTACTTCTATGCTAATATTTATTTCTGTGATTATGAAAAGAATACTCAAGAATAAATCTTTTTTGAATATTTGTTTTTCAAATTTCCTTTCAAATCATTTCAGAAACAACTGTTTGAGTTTCCGCACTTCAGCCCAGAATTCAACTGTTGTCCGTTACCATTGAGTCATTGACTTTCCTAATAAATAGCAATTTATTATAACCCTTAATTAACAAAAAGACTTGAGCAGAGAAATACAGCAAAGCTCAATTTGACGATTCTATCACAGGAGCAGCACCATCCAAATATCCGCAATCCAGGTTGCTTTTCCGGTCAGTTGCCGTCTTGCCGATGCCCTCGATGAGCCACACGGACTAACACAGCGGGCACTTGCTGGCCGCGCCCGAGCCGGCGTGGCTGGCGTTCTTCATCCAGGCGGACATGCAGCAGTTGCGGAAGGCGTGGTTGCACTCGCCCCACACTACTGCAATTATTTCAATTTATTTGTACAAAAAAGTAAACACCCTCAAAACTGATGCCGAGAAGCAAACACCCTCAAAACACTTCGGCTGCCGAGAATAGCCTCAGTTTATTAATTCTGAATTAAATCTGAACTAATCCTACTTAATTCAACTGTTTGATTCAAGTTAAATTCCTCTTCAGGCTGTAATTCGAATTATCTAAATTCTTGTTTAATTCAAATTAAATTCCTACTTAACTGAAATTAAATTCCTGTTTAATTCAAGTTAAATTCAGTCTGTAATTCGTATTATCTAAATTCCTGTTTAATTCAAATTACAAATTAAATTTTTTTTTAATTCAAACTAAATTTCTAATTAATTCAAATTAAATTCTTGTTTAAATTTAAATTAAATCGAGGATAAGGCGATGTCGCGATTATGCCAAACTGTGGAAAATGCTTTTAATATTGCACAGAATGCGAATTTACAGATACTGACCGATGAAGGAGGTCTTGTTGTTGACCTGGCAGTTGAGGCAGGGCTCCATGAGCATGACGCGGCAAATGGCGCAGTTGTCGGAGTGGACGTCCCAGCTCCAGAAGAAGACGGGGTTGAACTTCTTGACGATGAGAGGGAAGGAAATGGAGGCTCCCAACACTTGTTTGTCCTCCCGGGCTCGGGCATCATGGCCAGGTAGGCATCTTATTCTTCACTGCTGTCCGCGCTGCGCAGGGGGGTGGACGGGCCCCTCGTCAGCTGGGGCAGGGATCCCTCCGTCTCCGCTCCTTCCACTTCCATCGCATCCATCCTGACTCTGGATCCTGCCTTCCCTGTCAAACACAATCAGCGGATTCGCAATTAAGCTCAAGTCTCTGGGCAAATGTTTTTATTGTAAATGGAAAACGTTTTAATGGAACTGGATATTTTTAATTATTGTGTTTTATTAAGTAATTGATTTTATTTATGAATTAATTCGTCATTTAATTTACTAATTTCAAAATTTATTTCAAAGTTATTATTTTCCATTTGTGGCCGTATTTCGGTGACAGTGTAACAGCCCCGCCTACTTCAGTTACGTCATTAAAATAATAATTTGTTAAATTTATTTAAAAATTATTATTTTCCTTTTGTGGTCGAATTTTGGTGACAGTGTTGTTGGGTCAGTCGCTATGGCAGCCTACGAGCAGGCAGCCAGCGACAGTCCCGCTTCCGGTGTGCTGACTCACACCGAGTCGCACTCGCTGTCGAGCGCTAGATCGGCCTCGACTCAGGCAGCTTTCCGCCCAGCCTCACGTCTCGGCCAATCACCGGCCTCGATGTAGGCGGAGCCACGCCTCCTTTCCTCATCTCGGCCTATCAGCGTTCGTTCGCTCGTGTTGGATCTGCCCAGTGCCGCATTAGGCTTTTTCCCATGTTATGGCTCGATGTGCCGTTCATTTTCATTCACTAGCTGATATTCGGTGATTTTCATTCTCCACCTCACATCGAGCCTTTGTGTTTGGGTTTTCTGTACTTTATTGCTATCACAATAAAGCCTTCTCTCACTATCGTGAGCCTTTGTTCGCCAGCTGTCACATGATAGCATATCGTTGAGTTTTTCCTTCAACGGACCCTTTGAGACCACGGTGTAGAATTACATCCGTAACGGCCGACGTGAAGACAGGGGAGAACCAACGGTTCCTATCCCCATCTGATCGCCGCCAGCCAGAACGGTCTGGTCTCTTCTCTCTCTCTTGCGGGCAGAAAGCCTCGGCGGACCCTCTTCCTTGCGCGTGAACGGAACGTTCCTCGCGGAGACAACCCTCGGACGGACTTTGCCCGGGTTGATTGGCGGTTCCCGCGGATCCCCGGACAGAACGTACGGCACGGACCCTCGCGGACCCTCTCAGCCTCATCAGTCGGGGTCGCCTTTGTCTTAAGTGGCACCCGCAACTATAACAGCGCGGATTCACCGGATCACCAGGCGGATTCACTCGGATTTACCCGGTAAAAAGGGTCGATTGACCCTCGGTAAACCGTGTAGAGCCTCATAAGACCCGATATAGCCGGGCATTTTTCATTTTCACCGGACCAAAAGTAATTTGGCCGGCTAAAACTTATTTTCACCCGGATAAAACGGGCTTAAAACATCTTTTTACGGGTTAAAATAGGGTTAGCCAGCCTTACTAGGCCGGACCCTCGAGCCTCGGTGTAGACCCTCTGAGCCTCGGTTAACGACCTTTCTGAACCTTCCAAAAACTAAGGGAATAACTTTCCCCCGGGTAAATTAATTTTTGACCGGCTAGAAAATTTTTCCTGAATTTTTCTTGATTTTTCCGAATTTTTCCATCTCGGAAATTAATTAATTCAAAAATTTAAATAATTGTGACGTCACGACGGCCGATTTACCATACTAAAATCTGACCAATCAGGATAACGGGGAGATTCCCTATGTTATAAGTCCGTAGTGAGTCACTGTTTTTTTGGAATTTTGCACGCGGCGCGCAGAATCGTGACGTAGGCAGTAATCTGCAAGACCACTTAACGGTGTGCGACGTCATAGCGGTCAGTGCCGTAGTATAGGACGTACGCAAGCTGTACCCTGTATTGACAACAGTACTGAGTTGCAAGTAGTACAAGCACACCCACACCATCACCCCACACCCCACCGGACCTCTGCCCCCCCCACCGGACCCTCGGACCTTCAACAGGCAAAAAGCCTCATCAACTTCGGACAAGTCCCCAATAGGGATAGTCCGACTTCTTGGCTGAAGGGTCAACCCGGAGGCTACTTCAAGGCTCCAATAGAGCCACCACCGAAGATGTCCGGTCGAGAGAACCCATACGAACGGAAGTTCGACCAAGGCTACGCCCGACGTGACAATGCAGGCGGGTACACCTTCCGTCATGCAGGCCCGGGCGGCGACCCTCACTCATCGGACTCCAACCGATCGAGTAAGTCCGGCAAATCCAACAAATCGAACCAGTCGACCAAATCGGCCAAGGAGAAGCGAGATGCGCGGATCCTTGCGGACGATTTTACCCAATCGCCGGAGGATAGCTTCGAGGACGCACATGACCGGACGTTCCTCGAGCTACCACAGGCTGAGCCGGAGGTTCCGCATGACCCAATAGGTCAAACTGCGAACTCTGAGCCTGCGGCTGGACTTGGGCACCCAATAGGTGCCTCGCCAGTCTTCTTCCCGGCTACAACCCCGGACCATGGAGCCTCGAGCCCGGCGCTAAGTAGCTCCGAGGTGTCACCAGACATGGGTGACCCTGTGCTGCCCCAACAGGGCGGCATGGCTGGACCAAAGTCGAGGCAAGGCCAGATGAGCCCGAGCCAAATGAAGGGTATGGCATCACCGATACGGGGGGTGACCCACAAGGCGGGTTCACCGACTAAGTCCCCACCGACCCCGGTTCAAAGCCCCAAACCAACGGGCAATAATCCAAAATCTTCGGACAACAGTCGGAAATCGACGTCGCCGGACCCGAAACGACCCTCGGGGACTCCGAAGGCGACCACACCGGACCTGAGGACCCTCACCGGGACTCCAACTCGGACTTCGAACCTATCGAAGCCGACCTCGGGAACTTCAAAATCCTCAACGGGAAGGTTGCAGTCGGCTGGAACCTCGAACACCGAGGCTCGAGCCTCGGACACCGAGGCTCGGACCCCCAACACCGGGGCCCGGACTCCGACCCAACAGGTTGGAACACCCAAGACCCGGCTGGCAACCCCCACTTCCTCGGCTAAAAAAGCCGTCTCTCCGATCAAATTCCGGATTTCGTCGGTCGCAACCTCCACGGGCGAGGTTGAGGGTTCGGTTACCGAGGTTAACTTAACCTCGGCTGGCGGACCGTCATCCCCGAAACCCAAAACCCCCGGCAGTGAACCTACGCCAGCCCGAGCCAGCCGGATTGAAGCCTCACAGGCCGCACGTAAGTCGAAATCGGCTTCACCGAAGGTCGCGAAGCCAACCTCGGACCTTCCGGCTACACCACCGATGTTCGAACCCCCGAACCCCGGGGCTGATAAAACTCCATCACCGACCGACGACGTTTTCGACGCAACCGTGTTACCCAATAAGGTGACCGAGCGTCCGGACAGCAGAAAAGGCTTCAGGTTTCCGTCACCGAAGCAATACCCAGGCTCACACATCGGAGCCTCGGACTACACACCCCGGCGGTACCTAACAAAGACCCCCCCGGAGAAGATCGACAACCCACAGATCCTCCGCCAACGGATATACGAGCTGCAAAACCAGCTCTTGGCCGGACAAAACATCGTCGAATCGACGGAGAACGTCTTGTCCCAGACGGTAGCATCGCACAAGCAGGAGCGCAAGAGGCTCACTGACGAACTCGAACGTGCGAACACCGTCATTGACGACCTTAACCAGGAGATCGAACGGTTAGAGGCCCAGTTACAAGTAAC